ATCACTACCTGTAGTTTTTGTGAAATAATACCATCCATTTGTATGTTTATATACCCATGGATCAGCACCATCTTGAGCAATAACATTATAAAATGTGTCTACATTGAAAGCTGGTTGAGATTTAAATTCAATGTCTCGCACTGTAAATAAATCAAATTTCAAGTTTTTATTAGATTTAGCCAACTGTTAAAGTAAAACGTTTCAGTTTTTGTTATTTTTGAATAAATTGTATATTTGAATTACTTACTTTTCACAAAAAATTGATCTATTTTGGAGTAGTTAAAACTAATATTATATTGCTAGTGAGTTCTGCATCAAGAGAATTAGTTTCAAATGGTATCGTAATATTTATCGAAACCATTGATGCATTTTTATATGAAATTTTAGGAGAGACAATAATACGGTTGTTGGTTTTATGCATATGCACTCATATCTTTGATTCATTGTGAAAGATAAATTCTTTGATAAACAGCATATGTTCAAAATTGAATAAAATAATGTAGATTATCATCCATATATATAACATAAGATATTTGAAGATTAATTGTGATCTATTGATTTAGATATATATGTATATCGAATAGCACTTTGTTTTCGGTTCAAACTATTCGTACAGACTATAACTCAAGGTATCTGAGTCTTTTTTCACTTTCATGAAAAGTGCGATTCGAAAATTCATTCAGTGATGAATTATTTCACCTAACTTGTTGTCCTAGTTTTTCTATTATCTAAGTTATTTCTTTATCATCAAAATCAAATATTATACATTGTTTGAATAAGTTTCTGATACCGAAAATTTCATTTGCCATGCAGGACTTACGCTCTATTCCGCATAGAATGTGAATAGTTACCAAACGGGTCTTAAAGTCTAAGAAATTCTTCTTGTCTTAAAAATTTGGAGCTAGAACTTTTCGTTACAGAGCAACATGTTGCAAGATTTTATTGTACAATATATTACCACATTAGAAATTGGTTTTTTAGAAAGTAATGATGGATTTAAAAGACTCGCAATGATTTCTCACCATCTTCCCAGATCGAGGATAACAACATCAGGTTCTAATATCTTTGTGGGAGAAACCCGGCTGAAGACTGTGAAATGGTCATATACACAAGCTGGGATACAATGCCCACATTGCCAGTGATCGAATCAGGACAATGTGTTCTTAGTTCCGAGCTTCGACTGTTTTTCGAAGTTTTCTAGTCTAAACTGATGCTCGTACACTATCGGCTGGTTTGACTAGAATAATTTTCTGTGTGAAAATCTTCCAGTTTATCTTAAAGAAATTTAAGTTTTGGGTAAAATTACGAATGTTTTACATATTTATCTCTGGAAAGCTATTATTCTTTTAATCTAAGAGAAGTTTTAGACAGATTTTTTCGAATATATCTCTAGAAAACTCTTTTTAGGTGGTGTAGATATGTCAATATTTTTCAAATTAGAATTCAAATATGATTTTTTCACTTTTTGTCATAATCTTCTACAAAAACACCAATTGATGATGCACAAATATATTGAACAATAAAACGTTTCTATATTTTGTGCGTAATGAAAAGTCCAACCACCGAAACTCAACAGTTGGAGGTGGTCGAAGATAATGCCGTCCGTTTGTATGCTTATATACTTATGAATCAGCAGTATTTTCAGCTAGAACATTATAAAAATAGCTCATTGAAACTTAGGTAGAGTGAATATCAATTTAATGACATTTCGTTTAACAAATTTTTGATTGTATTTCATCCCACATCTAAGACATCCGATCGTTGATGATAAAAGATCGTTTTCATAAGACGATCAAAATCTCTCTGCGTTATTCGATCTAGTATCGACTGACTCAACATCGCTTTTTCTAGTGTTCATTCGAATATAGATTCGAATTACTTTTTGTTCGTAAACATTTAAGGATAGGACTGATGAGAAAACTTGTATAGTTCTATAGAATAACTCTCAATAATATTGAAGTATGAATTCTGAGTAAAAGACATTTTACAAAGTACTTCACAAATGACATAGTTATG